ACTCGGCCAAAATGGACCGCCCTAACGGGACTGGTCCAAAGCACCCATTTTGGCCATTGGGAAGGAATCCGACAGGACTCCCACTCCCGCCATACTTGGGACAACCCTAACGGGTCAGGTCCAACAGAGGCACGCCAGACCAAAGCATGGCCATCCTAACGGAATTGGTCCAAGCACATTAATTTGGTCACAAGAGCACCTCTCCTGTCCAGAGACATCACTCTGGCCCATCATGGACCGCCCCAACCGGGCTTGGCCCACCATCCATTAACAAGGAAGGGGACAACTTGTCCTTGCGCATGCAACCGTGCCTTCCATACACCGCACCGCTGAATTTACTCTACTGGACCCCTGTGGACATCTCTGGGAACCGTCGCCCCGGATTCACAGGACCAGACCAATCCTATCGGATAAAGCGGACCGTTGACTAGGACCCGTGTGGACATAATTGGCCCTGTGGTAAACCTAGTCGGAATAAGCCATTTTCGTCTAGTTTTTTAACCATACCTGGTTTTTCTAGACTTATTAACCAAAGAAATTGATGTTTTTATTTAGCCATTAACCAAAGGAATTGGCTTTGGGATCTCTAACTATGATCTTACTTTACTCTAATTCTCAATGAAATTGTGATTTTTCTATTTCACTGTTTAACCAATGAGCCTTATAAACCTTTATTTTTTTACTTGTTCGACCAAAGCAAGCCTTCAACCACACTGGAACCCCCAGCAACCAGAGTGCACTCCAGATTTCGGCCGTTCGGTGCACTGCACCGCGGGTCTGGAGCAACTGACCCTACCGGGTTCAGAGACAAAGTGGCATCCGGCCCTACCGGGTATCGGATCCTGGCACCCTACCGGGTTGGCCAGGGGCAGAGTCGGAAGGTGCTCGCAGGAGCTCCCACTCCCGCCCAGAGGCATGTCAGAGACCGCACACTCGAGGCGGTAGACACCTCTTGTGGCTTTGCTCTGTCGCCCGCCCGCGCACGGCTACTCCATTCGTGCCGCGCTATTACGCTGCTCACTCAGCGTATACTTTGTCTACGCTGACCAATCAGCGCATTTCTGCACTCTTGGGGGCGTAGCCCAGCGCCTACGAGCGATTCCATGCTTTACGGCATCAGCTGTTGCATACCTGCAGCACGCTGCATCAGTACACTTTTACCGATTTGCGCGCTTGCAGCTACTTTTCCACAGCTTACGCCGCATTGGCTTTTCTGTGTTTGTTTTGTGGTTGCTTTATTGTTACCAATAAAGGCGATATTTGCCCCACTTTTCGCTCTGCTTCCGTGTCACATCTGACACCGTGGGGGGTGATTTTGATCTATATTACTACAGACATAATTAAGCGACCGTATGTTACTACGTAGTGGCATAATTGTGTCTGTATATCTATCTATATATTCTCGACGCAGTGTACACTCACTAGCACAGTACGTACTACACTGTATTCCAATAAAACGATTTTAAGTTGAGAAGCACCTGGTTATCGGTGGCGGTAAATTCTGGCGGTAATAATATCTCGCTTACAGAATATAATTAGACGATGTGTCCACAGGCGACGGCAGTTTAACTTGAAGTGCGGCTAGCTGTATGTACAGTAAGAGTATTTTGTTCATTGTAGGACATTAATCATATTTTCCCTGGAGCGTTTGCTGGCCATCACCAATCCATTTCTCTTCCAAAAACTAAAAGGCAATGTTTATCCCAGAGTGATTGTCGTGATGGCCTTCCTGTTGGGCGGCACAGCATCCTTCTACGTTGTCTATGATTATTATGCCTATGATTATCCGAATATGGCGCGCAAGGATAACAATCTACCGGAATATGTGCGTTCGCCGAGCTACATGAAATGGGATAAACTGCAGAAGAGATCTGAGGTGAGCAGAGGATAACGTACTCGGGCACAAATGTCTACAGCAAAAAATTACGCATTAAAAACGACATGTAAACTATAAGGTCTATAAAAACTATGGGTGTAAAAACTTACACCTGCAGCTCGTTCTTAGAATTGTTGTTTCTGTTTAATTAACAATTAGCGCTTTAGGCATATCCTGTTGTTGTTTGCAGCAGATACTAACTATTTTGGTGTCTCAGGCTTTTATTTTCATTGGACAGTTCTTTGCCCTAATAATCATTAACTCCCTTGTCGCTATTGTGGTGGCACGCATCTTCCGCGGCGTCCGTATGGGAAACGACAAAGTGACCGTGGTCGCCAAGTCGGGTGACAAAAAACGTACCGCCCAGCAACAGCGCAACAGTGTATTAATACACTGGAAGAAGGAATATTCCTTCTTCTGGGCAGTGTTGTCCTTTATCTTACGACACAATTCCCGACGCTAATCCATCTGATCTTGAGCACTGCCGCCGACGTAATGGGGACCTACCAGTACGACCGCGGCCCGCGTACGGCCGCCCAGCCCTGCGTACTGATGGCGCAATATATTAACTATGCTGCTAATTTCCTCATATACATGACAGTCAGTCAGCAGTTTCGCGCACAAGTCACCGACGTCTTCGGACAGTACCGGTGTGGACGTTGGGTACAAGCACAAAAAAAGAAACTCTTCCCACGCAAAACGTCGACCAAACCAACGAGACCGCAAGCGACAATGAGTGAGGAAACTCGAACACGCTGGAAAACATGAAGAAACACGTCGCGGGAGTACCGACAGTTTAGAATCGGCAGTCTCTGACATTGACACGGCGTCGCGGGCCTCCGTTCTCCCCACGCGACGGGATACCAGTATGATGAACCTGGATGACGTCACAGCCGTTGCATTAACGGAAAGCGCTCGCAAACTGGACACAGGCGAGGCATCCTCAATCCAGTTGAAGCCCCGGGCACCGGGGACTTTTCAGTTGAAGAGGACCTCTTCGGCGCCCGGTGCCGATTATAACTCGGTACCTGGCCCACGCACCACAATGCCGGTCACACTCAGCGCATTGCAGCGCTTTTTCTCATTACCGAACCGGACGCCGCCCGCGAGGCATGCCGTTAAAAGCCCAGATTCGAGGCGCGGCCTGGCGGATAGCCCCGATTCCAACCGCATTAAAGTAGACATCCCGTCGCAACCGGCGCCAGCAGCGTCTGCATGTCACGGGACCAATATCAATAAAATTAGTTCGGAAACTTCGGTTACGGGACAGTGCGTGGAGAATGTGCGCCGACCTGACGAGCAGTATGGCAATATATCGTCGAAGTCGACGGAGAACACCGTGTCGGGAGGTGAAGTGGAAATCAAAGAGAATAAATATGTGGGAATAACTGCAACAGCGGGCATGGGAGTAGGGAAGGACCCTATGGAAAGCAATAAGCGCCGGACGAGCGTTCCTCTAGGTGAACCTTCTGTAGCTTACTTCGTAATGCATTTTAGGCTGTATTTGTACAATACACTGCCCTCACTTCTACCGTATTTTTAAAATTTCTCTGAACACAGCTTGCGGGACAATGCAGTCATTCATTAAAGTTCAACATCGTAACATTACGAAATGAACATGTTAATAACTTGTAATTCACTAATTCCTAATTTGCAATTTGTTGTTGTAAAATTTACAATGATACATACTTGTACTTTGTAATCGTATTCCGGTAACTAAGTATCTGTAACTAAGCAACTGGGGTTGTAGATGTCGTGACATTAAACGTTACCATCAAAGCGGATGACCAAGACCTAGAAAGACCACCAAGACCCGATGTAGTGCCAAAGACGGAGAACCTAATAAAGGACGACGGAAATGCTTTACATCATTGTGCGCGACTGCCCATGGACTACATCGCAATAGTCAACGAAAATGATGAAGCGGAAAATCGAACAAGGCACCCAATCCCCCATAGCCAAAAAAGGTCAGATTCTCACTTGACCTTTGACAAACAGGCGCATAATGAACATGACCGACCCAGCGCGGATGAACGCACAATCGCCACCAACCATAGTACGGTGGAAGTTGATTTCTTTGCAAGGAAAGCTGCTTCTCTGCCACAAGAAACTAAAGCAATAAATTCTCATCCTATTTCAAAGGGTGAGATGATCACACAGTTGTAAATCAATCGTATTCCGGTAGTCACTGTGGTTGCGATGCATGGAGTAAGACTGCGTATGGAACTCAATTTACATAAATGCGGTGGTTGAACAAGTTTTATAATGGCGAAGAGCACAGTGGGCGACAAAATTCATTTGACGCCGCGAAAAGGGAGACTCTTCCCAGAATGCACGCGAACCATCGGCTTGCTACAATTTGGCAAGCTGATACACCAAACTAAAAGCTAAACACTTGTACCATGCACATTTCCGAACAAAAACCCTCAAACGTTATCTCAGAAAAAAGAGAAAAAATGGCAAGATTTTCGATAATGAACAAGTGGTCATGGATCAAAACTAAGACATGTTTGAGCCAAGGACCTTGCCGGTATATACATGACGTGTGGGAGTAGAATCACACGCCGGGATATACGTACGGATGCTGAATGTCCGCCTTCCACCTGCAACATAGCGGATAATCTAGTCAATCTCTACTGTGATTTGCTGTTCTCTTTACTAGCGGTGTATGTGATGTCATAACGCGAAGTCTATATAAGTTTTGGTTGTCACTAATATCGGCATCAGTAGTCTGAGATTCACTTCTGAGATTCACTTCTTCTTACTTTCTGATTACAATTTCCTCGTGTTGTGGACTGTGTTGTGAATTGGATTAAAGAGGCAGCAATACTTGTTCCTACGGAAGTGCATAGTCGTTCCCGGATTATCGCTTAGTATGCAGGTTTGCTCGCGTCACAATCGACCTAGCTCTTGCCGATCCTCACAGAACCTGCGACCGGAGATTGTGGTTGGATTTCCTCGCTTAGGGATTCCTGATTCGTGTTCCTGATTCGTTCGTCTATTTCCACCATAAGGATCTGTTACAGTTGAGAAGAGAGTTGCCTACCGACTGACATTTACAGGCGTGGAAGAGTAAAGATAGTTCATGGAGCTCTAACCAGCGTGAACGCTTATACACGACATACATAGTACCGAGCCAAGGACCTTACCAAAATTTAGCACGGTTTGCAATCTCAAGGCAATTTTAAATTAGAGCGGCAATTAGCTTTTGTTGATGTAGCGAGGGATCGATCCTGCAGCGTTTTCCACAATCAAAATAAACAGAAACGGAGGCCGTATGTTGCACCGAAACTACTGGCTGCGAATTTAATGGCAGTACGGGTTAACAGCCACTCTGGCGGGCGACTACTTGAACAAGCTCACTGAAATGCTGAACATGGAGATTGTAGAGTGCACTGATTACACTGTAACACAGCCCAATAATACTACCAAGGTGTAATACTATTACGCAGTAACCGTTGTGCTTATCAAGTTTGCCGGCAATCCTAATGAATAAGTACACAAAATGCCCCGATTCTGCAACTGCCGTTTGTGCACATATAAGGGGAAAAACTAAACGTTTTCCACCGTTTCCGGCTACTGCTGCCCTCACCCGGCAGGAATTTTACGTTGTGGCTGACCATGGCGCTTATGTACCGCGCCAGATTTAACCATGTTATTGCCGTAACGTCAGACTCCATGCGGGTGACGGCAGCAACACAGGGGAACCGTGGAACACGCTTAGTTTTGCCCCCTATATGTATTGTACACTGTACAGTACTCGTTAAGATTGCCACCGATCGTCATATCGAGAATCCAATGGCACATAATAATGGAAAATCAGGCGGCGATGTTATTTGGCTGTGACTGTTTATTGGCGTATTCTCACTTTATTGGCCAAATCATACTTGGGGGCAAAGCAAAGAAAGAAACAAAGACTGGCTTATTGGCTGTACGTATTCGAGCGTTGCGCAGGCTCTGTTAAATACTACTGTTTGGTCCATCGTACTTCTATCATTCAGCAAGTTCCGCAGATCCTTCAGTCTAAACAGCCGGTATGCAACAGTATGAAGAAGAACAGTTTGTATTAACCAAGAACAGTAGACAACGGATACCCGTAATTTACTGTTCTTGTACGTATTTACGCATCTGGAACTTGTTTTGCGAATTGCTCAAGGGCAGTCAGTGAGCCACTGACCTGAAGACCATTCTTTTCATTCTTGCCGTCGTGTCTGTATGTCCCATTTTCATAGTGTGCGGTTTGTACATGCTAGCTAAGATTATTGCCACTTGCAACAAGCAGCCGACATCCTTACAGAGTACAGATAGATCACTTCACCATCCGGAGAGTAGTTCAATAACAACTATTCTGAAAGGCCATTTTCCAAAATAACTCGACGGGGGTCGCAGATATCATCAAACCTGCAACCAGTCAGCACAGTCTCATCAAACGCGAAATAATGGAAGTTAACTCGTCTCACCCGCTGGATTACCACGCAAACCAAACGCAGCTGGAAGGAATTGTGAATGCTAGCAGCCCTAACATCGGTCCATTCGCCATCTCCTGCTTCCTGGGCACAACCGTTGCTACGTTATTAACCAACTGTGGAGTTCTTTCGCTATTTCTCGTCGATAAATCCCTTCGCACACCGTTTAACGTCTACATCATGACTCTGCTATCGGCCAATATCATCTACGCTGGCATCGACGGTCCGCTGAAAATACTAACGTTCCCGTATCCCACCTGGCGGCTAGGAGCGGAAGTATGCACGCTGCGTATTTACAGCGGCTACATCATCGCCGCCATGGCCATCCATTTCCATCTGCTGATAACCCTAAACCGTGCCTGGGCACTGTTTTGGCCGCTATCCTACCGTAACTACCACTCCACTACCGTGGCATGGTGGCTGTGTGGCGGCACGGTATTCTATCTGCATGTGCTGCTCTTACCCGGCATCATACTGGACGCTGTGTACTATCGCGTTCCCGCTGACAAAGACTGTTGGTTGGATTCGTCACGACAGTTCGCCTGGGCGACATTTACCTCTTGGTGGGTATTTGTTGCCCCGAAGCTGTTCATTCCAATCTGTTATCCTTTTCTCTGGAGAAAAGAAATGCAGCGCAGAGCACGGACTGCGGCTACTCAGCGGTTTGCGGAAATGACTATGGCGCAGACTCCTTGTACGTCAGCGGACGTGGCAACCGCCCCGCTGGCGCAGCGGGGCAGTTCCCGAGGGTTTATTGTGTTAACTTTATTCACCATCAGCATTATCGTCTGCTGGATGCCGAGTCTTCTGTACTTCCAATTACTGAATTTCATTCCGATGGACAGGCTGCAGACGTTTGCGAAAGTCGCTGGCGTTTTGTATGCGTTACAGGGTCTTTTGGATCCGGTCTTCGTCTGCCTTAGTTTGCGTAAGGTATACCGTTATGTACTGCGCTTGGACAGGATGTGCATTAACAAGGAGGCGCAGCCGATGACTACTACCAAATAGGACGGATTTAAAGGATACTATGGCCATAGAATCATGTTCTACTGATTGTCACTGGTAACAACTCAACCGGAAACAGATGTACCGCCTATTTTAGTAGAATTGTAAATTCATGTTATCGGTTTTGAAGAACTTTGAGGTTTTCCGACTCTCCTGGATGTGAAGTCAGTAGACGTGCTGCCCCGAACGGCAGACGGTTGATTGTGTAACCACTTGTTTTTGGACTTGCTCTCTCACTTGCTCTGATTCTGATTCTGTAAATTGATGATGATGTCCCTGAATTCGCGCGCTACGTACGGTTGTAATTCATTTAAGATCAGGGTAATTACCGACCTACCATCGAACCTCGTTTCATCGTGGTATGGGTGGAAGAATCCAGTCCACTAGGGACAGCTTAGAAGTTACCACGGCAGTACTGTACGGCCGGTATATACATTTCGTTTTCGTAGCATTTTCGTTTTCATAAGTACATGTAAGCTTTCGCTTATGGTTAGTATTAAGACATACTAAATTTTCGTTTGTTATTTAATTCCAGAAAGTGTTTAATTGGCTGAAAACCATTTGAGCTTCCCACATTTAGCTGATGGGAATTGGGGAATAAAAGTACCCAAGAAATTTGAACGTTTTGATCATTCATGGCATCATATTCAACTTTCATAAATCAGTACACCAATCTTTACCCCCAAAAGCGAAGACCGGTGTCGTAAATTGTAACGCTCATGTTGTAGTATTCTTGGATTAAAGAAATTTTGCAGATTTCCTAGTACTTGTCTGAAAGTATTTCCCATTTTCCTGCGTCTTCAAACATTAAGGTCTTGCTTTTTTAAAAACAAATGTCGTCCGGCCTATCCGTAAAAGATCTGAAAGGCCAGATGTCTGCGCCCGCGTACCATGGAATTGAGGAACACCTTAGCCTTAATTCATACCTGTGTCGAAAAACTCGCGGTCTCGCATACTAACAGTAACTAATCCAACTTAACCGGGAACGGGAACGCCGGAGCCGCCGCGAAGTAAACTGAAACGAGGAAGCGAACGAAGTACACCCGGCTGCACCCACGGCACCATTTTGTTCCCGGCGGCCTTCGAAATCCACGAACCCTGGGGAGACGGCTTATAAGAAGCTTATAGATAAGACTGGATATTGTTCAGGGGCTGCTGTGCGCTAAAAATGCGGCAAAACGTTTTTCGATAGCGCTTATTCATTCAGATACAGGGTGGAGATGCGATTTTAGAAATTAGCACGATTCCCGAACAAGACAGGAGGAAGTGTTCTTATTGTGATTTGGGCGTGCGTTTTGCGGAAATGTTGTTTCTTTTATTTTTATTTTTGATCGTGGATCGTGTGGTTATGCATCATGAGTACCCTAGCTAACCCACATATGCAAGGGTTAGTTGTTACGACATATAATATGTTACGATGCTGAATTCCGAGCACAGGTTGTTGTATATATCACCTGTGCTCGGAATTCAGCATCGTAACAACATAATACGAATCGTAATCAAATCGCAACACTTAAGTAAGGTCAGCAGCGGCAACACAACGAGCGGCCGTGAACTCTTTTTTTTGGGGTGTGGCGCTCGCTAACCTCACGGTTTGCTCAGAGTCGCCGGTTGCTGTATGTATCCGAGATCAGAAGCTGGTAATACTCAGTCAAAGTTATCAAACCGCTTTCCGTAATAACGCAGTACACCATACCGGAAATAAGCGGCTGAAACGGTCGTCAGCAAGCACCGCTGCGATGGCAGTCGAGCTGGTACATTATTTAGTATCTACGACTTTTCAGCGTTAGCAGTTTGATTTTCTACGTAAATTCTTTGTTAGATTACACTGTATGAGACTATTCATGCTGATTATAATGTAGAATCTCCAGCTTCATGGTTCGATTCAATGAAAAAACTGGTAGTAGTTGTCTTATTAGTTTTGGCGGGATATTGACATTGTTTCGCGTAACATGATTCAAACGATATTGTCTTCTTCTTTTAGTACCAAGGTACATCGTAGTTACGAACTGCGGTCATAATTTGATTACGATCAGAAAATTAACCGGAAGCTCATACCTGACTCGGCAATCGCCCCCGTAAGACAGCATTCTGTATTGTGTGCTCGTTCTTTATTTTTATAAATGGACGCGGTCAAACATATCTGATTTATCTGTCATTTTTGCACCGAAATCACTCGGACATGGAAGTATTTCTTGATGTAATTTCGGACGCAGATCATATAAGGCCGTGGTTTCCTGGTGGACTGTTACGTAACTATTGCTGCTGCCAGTTTACATGTCTATACACGCACGTTCTTGATGCTGCATTTTTTGGTCTCTTAATACAAGTTGTGGGGCTTATCCACTATCGTTCTGCTTAAGGGTTGCACGGACGACCGCGATTATCCAGCCACTGACCATCAGCACAGGCGGGATCTTGTTTCGGCGTTCCAACGTTTCCTAAAAGATTTGGCAGATCGATTAGCTTCACAGTACCTTTCCAAAAAATTTAGTAACCGAATATCGCATTAGTATTGCGGGCAAAGGTCAAGAAAAACCTTCCCTCGTTGCACTGCGTAAAGAGCTGCCTTAGCGCATACCTGTTTGCTTGGCCGCTTTGATACTTCCACAGCGAACAGAGTTGGGCACCACCGCGCCCCATGTTTGTCCCACAGCCCGGCCACCCATATTGGTGATCGCGCCCAAGCCCTGTTTGTTGCTCTGGTCCTGAGATTCATCACCGCTGGCGCCGGCAATTGCACCCTGCACGGCATCTGTCGGCATAACGGCGCCCCATCCACCGCCAAATACACCACCCACTCCTTGGCCAACGGAATCGGTGGCACCGCCCACTGGACCCTTGTCTACCAGAAGCGTATTTAGCACGTAATGCCGTCAACGTTTAACGCATGCTCAGGTCAACACAACAGTATTCTTATGGAGAAATACTACGGAATTACGGTACCATCAAAATTATGCAACGCACTTAAAGTTACAACACGTACACGCATGCCATCGTCACAGAAAGTCGGTAAAAGCGTATTTATGTACTGTACAAATAGTTCAAGTAATTCTCACCTTTCTTAACCCATTTGCAGTTGTTGTTCGGTGCAGCGGAAGAGTAGGTGACCGCCAACACGAGGAAGAAAAACACTGCTAGCTTGGCCATGGTTGAAGAGTGTCGTCTGTGATGCGGTAGCTTGTAAGACAAATGTAGGTGATTGTTAGTGCGGATGGGACCCAACTGAATGTCATAACTGCCAACCATCGGCTTTTAAGGCGAAATTTTGGCCACTTCATTCTCTGCGGGAAAACCGCGCCGCGGGAGTAATATGTTTTACAGGCTGCCAACACCGAGCAAAGTTGGAGGTTCCGAGGTTGCCAACTATTTGGCTGTCCATTGTTTAAACAGCGTTGATTGATGCGAGAGACATTTCTCGTCGCAAAGACGTTGAAATCTGCAACGTTGAAAGTTATGCAACAAACGAGTAGGCTTGGCCTTAGCTTGGCTTATTAGTAATTATCGAACTGGTCACAATTTTTAGTGCCCTATTGGCGCCAAGAAGGAACAACAGCGAAAACAACCATTCCGGAAACTTATCACAAATTCATCACATGCCGATAAACGTGTTATTCTTTTTAGTCTAACGTAAGCACTAAGCACAGATAAATACAACTTCAGGAAGTTTTCTTTAATGATTCAGAGAAATAACATTAAAATAAAATCTCCCAACTTTGAGTTTTTCTTAACAACAACAGCAAGTACCGGTTGGGACGGCTACGGAAGAAAACGCGTACGGGTCATGAACACGAATGCCTTGACATTTTTCACAGTTATGTCATTCAAACTGTTGACAAATTAATTACTTTTATAACCTGGTTGCTCAGTGTCATAGAACGCTAGGCACAAAAACTGCGTTTTCTATACGATAGGAAAATGTGTAGGAAAAATAGGAAAAGGGAACAGGAAAAGAGGAAAATACAGGAAAATGTGTTGCTGCAAGGATGACCTTTATTTTGTTCTATAAATGCAGGATATTCGTATTATATCTTGAACCGATCGTGACAGGAGGCACTGGTATAATACTGCCTTTTCTTAATGAATGTTAATTTGCACAATGGTAGTGAAAACTGAAAGGAAGCAACTGATGCGAGATAACACTATTTGTTTTTGCATTACTAAAAAGACAATACTAAAAAAAACGGTTATTGTTCGGTTTGGTATTTTCTGATCAATGTTTGTTCACAGAAATACGAAATAAAGTTATATTTAGCATTAGCATACCTACATTGTTCATTAATAATTTTAGAGCCCGATAGTATAATATTAATGAAGGTGTCATCCTTACACAGATATGAAACCACGTACATCGCATAAATCATTGTGTTCGGGGTGTAGAAAAAGCCGTACAATTTACTGCACGGCAGCCGCCCGACCATCAGTCGGATTCAGTCCACATGCGACAATGAAAACCGGAGAAGCAGCTCTCGCATGGAGGCTGAATAAACTGTACTGTTCTGGTAGTGTTGTTTTTAATTTACGTTCTCTGTTCGTTCTCTGTTTGATTTCTGCTCTGTTCGTGTTTTAAAGCCGTTTTGTTATCCGCCTGCTTTTTTCTGATTTCTTGGCTCCGACATTAATTCTTGATGGTCAGCCCGGTTTACATTCCATGCTCGACTATCCACCTAGCCGGAAATGGTTACCTGCTCTGATTGCAATTATGTAAAATAAAAATTAATTAAATCTACGGTTAAAGTCTGTCGTTAAAGAAATGCTCTGTAACTAATCGCATACAATTTGTAGCTAATCGTACACAAAGTAATTCTGCGTGCTACGCTTTTCTTATACGTAACTTCAGAAACGCTTAAATTCACTCTTTGGCCTACGCATTTTGGCCTAGGCACATTGTAACGATAGAAATTAGATGTACCGCAAGTTGGAGTTAATTGCCTTTCTGTTTATTGGTTGTTGTGTTATGAAGATCAGAATCTTTATTTTCCTACTTTTACCGACCGCATCTCACGGTCAGAAACATCTTGAAATTAGTCTTGCTGCAGCTTGCTCCCAATTTTGCTCCGCGCCTTCCGCGCTTCTTGCCCCTGTGCTTCTGCACTTCTTGCTAACGCGCCTTCCGCGCTTCTTGCCCACCTTTATGCGTTCTTGCTCCTCAGCTTGCGTTGCTCACTGAATCTTGCTTTGTGTACTTGCTAATAACACGATGACCTTGCGTTGTGTTGCGTAGTCGCTATGGGATGATCGTGCATCTCACATCACTTTCACCCTGTAAACGGTAGTCAGCTTCCGGTCAGCATCGCTGCCGACCGTGCCAGCCTTTCCCACACTTACAGCCGACAGATCGTGGTACGGTGAATTAACCAACCCACTAGAACAGCAGTCGAACCGGCTGCTCTTACAATATGTACAGTTGGTACTTTTTACCTCTCAATACTGTAACTTCTGCTTACGTTTTCTTATACTTCAGACCAAAGCTGGAAACATTTTCGAACCAAAACCTTCTCAAGAAACCGGAAATCGGGTAGTAAACATATTATGGAAAATATGGCGCTTTTAAGACCGAGCTTGACTCAAACTGACCACGCGTTAACGAATCCATAAAATAACAAAGTTAATTAATTACGTTATGGACGGTAAGATTGTATGAATGCCGTATAGTGCCAAATCCATGGTTACAGTTGTCTGTACTTCGCCTTTTAAAACTTTTTCGAGCAAAACGTTTAAAAAATAATCAAAAATCAGGGTGAAAAGGTATGAAAAATATGAAATTTTTTAGACCCAACTTGACTAAAACTCACCACGCGTTGACGAGTCCATAAAAACAAACTCATATTTTATGCTTTGAACGGGTGATTGCATGAATAATTGTACGGGTCGCCCTAGCGTGCTGCCAGTTGTGTTTGAGTTAATTGAGGTGTAAGATATTAAACTTTTTTAATTTCGGAAACCGTTTCCGGTTTGTAATTTTTTTCGATTTTATTTTTTTCATTTTTCTCAATTTATTACGTTCAGTACTTAGTGTAAAGAGAGTTTCCCTGATGCGTCAATATGCTTAAGTGAACTGCATACTCGCAGTTGTGACCTTTTCGACGTTTTGCGCTTTATAGATTTTTTTACATGATTTCCTGGAATTTTTCAGGGCAGCATCTCGTGGTATTTGTACATACCATATTAAGCCGACGATTGCTGTTGGCTGATAAAGAAGCGTTTCTGAACTGCGATTTCTCTTAAAACTGCACCTTATCATACTCGAGAAGTACAGAATGCAAAATTCTGTAGAGAGTGTGGCTGTATGCGCACCGTGCCTGCTGTACTACTTTAAATTTACCGATACGGTTGTATAATATAAGGCGCACCCCTTATTTTCAGCTCTGTGATAAAAATTTCCGGTCGGACTGTACTGTACATGCTACACCATTGACACACTCACTTCATGTTCCAATACTACCCAACCGCGTCCCGATCGAGCGTTAAAAAGAACATGAACAAACACGGGAGTTTCTCGACGAAAGGCTTACGCCCCGCCGCGTCGTGTCGTGACGCCCACCCATGCCGTAAACAATTAAAAAAACCACAACCACGAAACGGATTGATCCATAAATTAATCAAAGTTAAAATAATCTGTCGATCGCTAGCGCGACCAGCGTTTCCGGTACGCAGTATGACTGCGAATTTGCGAAATTACAGATAGCTAGCTGTGTGAAGAATTAAAAGGAAAACTTTCGGGAATTTTGTTTTCGGTTTGTTTAGATACGTAGAAATACGGAAATATAGAGATACTGGCCTCGCTCCGCAGGGCGACCTTTTAAAATGTTTGGCAAGTTATTTAAAAATGAAGAAATCCCAGATTAACGAGTTAACATTACTGTAGAATAAGAAATTAAGTATATAGTGAATATGAATTGAAAAATCATGGTTACGTATATCCGTAAAAATTTGCAAATAATTTATGTTCATGGAAACTTCTTGGCGCTTCTGCTTAGGTACTATGACAACTTAAAAGAAATTCGGAAGCCTTTTGCAAGACTGAACTTTTATCAGAACCGCATATGAATAATCTTTTCTGACATGTGCTTTATAATTTTAATTAAATTTTTAGCTTGAAAATATAAGCCTTGAATTAGTTTAGAATAACAATACAAAAAGCCGTAAAACGTATAACTCTTTAGATAAAGATACGGCAAAAAGCAGTTACGTAAGTACCCTGGCAAAACCATTAAGAATTATGGCTTTAAAACCGTTTTGGCGTCGCAGCAAAGCAAAATGCTTCCAGTCACAAGTTCACACCAACATTTACGATACTGTATTTCAACACTTACGGAATATAACTTAATTGTCCACTTGTCTTTTTGATGTTGGGCGCTAATTTTCTTCCATTACCTGCGAGGGCAGTTAATCCATTCAGTCATGCATACTGTCTTTATAAGAGAGAATAATAATTTTATATTCGGAATGTATCCAGCTCAGTCTTCTGCCAAAGCAAATAGCAGCAGAAAGTATTACACAGAAACCATACAATCAGCAATACATGATATGATAGTATCTTACCATAATATTCTTGGATTATCGGGGTGAGAAACTGAGAGCAGAAAACGTGATGATCTGCAGTCATTAATGGATCAGGGCGTATTAACAGCTGCGCATACTGAAAGTATACCGAAAAAAGTGCCAGTGAGCGATTCGTGGGAATGCACACTTTTGTCGATCGGATTTTCGGAATGATTGCGGTTCCATATTGAATGCTGTTTTACGCAACGGTCTAGCTCGTTACTCGACCGCTGCGTGACGACCACGACAACGCGACAACGAACGCTAGTAAAATTTACACAGTTACACTAGACGACAAAAGAAAGGAACGATTTCGGTCGCTGCCGAGCCTTCTTTTCCTCAAAACTAGGAAACATTTTTTCTTAATGAAAAGTTATGTTTACAAATCGGCGGTGAGTGTCAAAGAGCGTGAGATTGTTGACAGCGTGTCTTTGCAATCAATTTTACCACTTTGCGGTCAAGGGCGGAAGTTCTGCACGTTCGTTGATAGTTCTTGTTGTACGGTACTTGCCAGTTGTCATGCTTTACGTTGCATGTGTACAAGTGTACGGTAAACGGCAAACGCAGTATTTTACGTTACGCTTTTAGCTGTTCGCTATGAAATATTACGGTGCTACAGTCGGTCTGTCTTACTACTGTAAAAATTGTTTTATCAAGGGAAATGGAACAAATATATGCTGCAAGTGGCAAACATTTTGGAGCTCTTTATACTAGTACAGTAGCATCGTC